AATAGTGAGATGGATTCTATTAGATAAAATCATACTTATGAAATCACTGAGCTACCTGAAGGGTTTAAAGCTCTAGGGTGCAAATGGATCTTCAAAACAAAATTGAAGACCGATGGCTCAGTTGATAAATATAAGGCTAGACTTGTAGTGCAAGGATTCCGACAAAAAGAATGTCTGAATTTCTTTGACACTTATTCTCCAGTAACGAGAATAACTTCCATCAGAATGCTGATTGGAATTGCAGCCTTAAGAAATTTGGAAATCCACCAGATGGACGCCAAAACAGCCTTTCTAAACTGTGAATTAGACGAAGAAATCTATATGAAACAACCCGAAAGATTTGTAGTCCCGGGACAAGAACACAAAGTCTGTAGATTTGTGTAGTCATTGTATGGACTTAAACAAGCACCAAAACAATGGCATGAAAAATTTGACAATGCAATGATGTCAGATGGCTTCAGCATAAACGAATGTGATAAATGCATTTACATAAAAACGACTCCTAATGGATATATCCTACTATGTTTATATGTAGATGACATGTTAATTATTGGCAGCAATAATGACATAATCCAACAAACTAAGAACATGCTTAGTGCACAGTTTGACATGAAAGACATGGATCTAGCAGATATCATTCTCGGGGTACAAATCACTAGAGCTTCTGATGGGATTACCTTGTCTCAAGCCCATTATGCTGAAAAGATACTCGAACGGTTCAAAACCTATTCAAATGGAACTTCAAAAACTCATGTTGACTCTCAACTTCACTTGACCAAAAACTCATGTGAAGCAGTGTCACAAGTAGAGTATGCAAGGATAATTGGTAGCCTTATATACTTAACTAATTGTACTAGACCTGATCTAGCACATGCAGTAAATGTACTAAATCGCTATACAAGTAATCCAGGACACAAACACTGGAAAGCCATAACTAGAGTATTAAATTACATCCAATACACTAAAAGGTATGGGCTGCGCTATGGAAGAGAACCAGCAGTTTTAGAAGGATACAGTGATGCAAACTGGATATCTGACACCAAAAACTCGAAATCCACAAGTGGATATGTTTTTACCCTAGGTGGTGCAGCAGTCTCTTGAAAGTCTTCCAAACAAACTCTATTGGCACGATCAACCATGGAGTCTGAATTCATAGCTTTAGATAAAGCTGCAGAGGAAGCTGAATGGCTCCAAAATTTCTTGGAAGATATTCCAATGTGGGAGAAACCAGTACTGGCAATACGTGTACACTGTGATAGTCAATCAGTTATCTCTATAATGGTAAATCTCGTCACATAAGAAGGCGACATAAAACCATTAGAAGCTTGATCACAACCGGAATAATCTCACTAGATTACATAAAATCAGCTGATAATCTAGCAGATCCATTCACTAAGGGTCTAGCTCGTGATCAAGTTCTCAAATCATCAAAGGGAATGGGTTTAAAGCCTATTACTGAAGAGGTTGTTTGATGGAAACCCCACCTACATAACTGGAGATCCCAAGATGTAAGGTTCAAAAGGGAAAACTAAATCAAACAAAATCTAACGCAATGAAAGACGTATAGTCTTAACCTACGTCCCAAGATGATTGACAGTGCTTACATACAATTTTCATTGTATAACTACAAAGGATAAACATAGCTTTTAATGATAAGTCCATAGCTTTGATATACCAGTGAAGTACAACACTTCTTAAAACAAAAACTATTAGCAAAATCACCTAGTGAGTGTGAAATGAGGCCGTGTCTAGGAGAATGAAAAAAAACAAAAGACTATATTCTCCAACTTCACTCATGATTCACCAGGCAAGTCCAAGGCCACAATGAACACAATAGAGAACTTAGTTCTACAAGAAAATGAAACTGATTTGTATTTGTTGTCTCGGTTTACATCAAAATCCGGGTGGTTCAAGACATCATGTTCACCTCCTGGCTGAGTAAGCCCGACAAATATTAACATTGAATGGTTCAAGGTTGAAACATACTACTATCTCAAACACAGTGGAATTTTCGTTTATACTCTCGAAAGTCTGTCTAGTCTAGTCTAGTCAAGTTTTTGAGTCAGTCCGGTCGTATGTCTAGAGTTATTTATATTCATGTGGGGGATTGTTGGACCCAATAATTACAAAGCCTACAAGCTTGTATTTTTGGTTAAAATGTGAATACAAATAAAGCTTTTTAAGGCAACTTAAAATGTGAGGAACATCATTTTGTCCCACATTGGAGGATTGAAAAATTTAGAGTCATATAAATATAGACACACACATGACATTGTTCAAAGTGTTGAAGGAGAACCAAGGATCTCTTGCGCGCCACCGCCGAGTCGAGCCGGGCTCGGGGTCGGGGGTCTTGGGTCTTGGTGAATATGGGCCTTCGAAAGATGTTCTCTTTGGGCCACGTTTTGGTCAACATTTCTGGCCCAAAATGTTAAAGTTTTCAGTTCAAATTCTTACAGAATCACGACATTAATCTGCAATCAAATATCTATCCTGAAAATCACGCCAAGATTAACGCCCAAATCGCGTCATTAACACAAAATTAATCACGTCTTTATCACGCTGATTAAGTGCGACGCTCCTCTCGCCTTCGCTATATATATCGACCTCTCCTCTTCCATTTCTCAATCGCTCAACATAAAATTTTACAGAGTGAAATCGTTCACACTTTTCTTCAATCTCTCGCGTCTCCTTTCTTCTTTCAAAAATAAGCGTCCGAGAGTATATCGTAGAATTTTAAGTTCGTCACATTCTATAATTGGATGCTGCGATTATACGAATTATCATGGGATTCATTATCTCATCAAACCGCCACACTACGGGAGATATTTTGAATTAAGGAAAAAGATCATCTCGCCTCCACTTCTCTTTTTTTCTTAATCCGCTTTTACAAAACGCTTTTCTGTATCTCAAATCGTTTTTTTTTTACATTGCAATATTTATCTCCTATAAATTTACTTCCTACAATTATTTGAAAAAAACTTCCAAAGCCTCCAAATTAGTAACCAATACATTGACAGAATGGAATCCATTACTTGGAGTCAAAATCAAAACAGCTTCTTCCTTGTCTAGATTACCAGCTGATCCATCCTCAGAGTTGTTATTTATTTCTGCAGAGGTGATAATTTAGAAGCATATTTCCATAACTGAAAACAGAGCTGCTAGCATTTGGATGGGAATAGAATTGAATTAGATAGCCGTAAATCTCTTCTATTTCTTATTTGGTCCTCATAGCAGATCTAGCCATTTTTTTAGGAGCTGGATCCTTGTGACTTGTATTCCAAACAAAATACAAATGAAATCACGCTATCTACAATTAATACTGGCGAAATCAAATTCAAACCACGAGAATAAGCTAATTACAATAATTTGTGAATAAGCTGATTTCAATAGTTAAGTTCATACATTCAAGTTGTCTAGGGTCTGAAACATGAACGATCATGCATCAACAATGAATATAGAAGTTATAGCATATACTCTAAAGATGATTAAATTCAGTATCAAACATCTGTTGATCAGCAATTCGAAGATCTAACTTAAAATCCCAAAGTTTTCATCTGCTAATTACTAAAGAAACGTTCTTGTCACATTTTCTGACATATAAACTTTGTAGTCATGATCATATCCAACATATAATTTGCAAATGAAGGTTTCATATTGTCACAGTTTTTATTAGCTTAAAGAAAGCCAATTTCATTCACACTCTCGCATTTTTATCATGATTCATGAACAGCACAACAAGATTCCCAATAGCAAAAGTAATGAAGATAAGTGACAGATATATAAGCATGAGTTTTGACGAAAACCAAATAATTGACCTACGTACTTTAATTCCAAGATTTATGTACAAAGTATGTAAGAATTGTTTTGAGTGATAATCTTAAAGAAATCACTCAAACGATTCTCGTTCCTTTTGCATGCTTCACCATCAAACTGAAACCCATACTAACAAAAAACAGTTTGCAATCATTTGAAAGCAAGATGGAAAATTCACCTACAAGGCTTACTAATCGGCAATTGACAAGTATTTTAACAGAACAGGAGAAGACCACATATTTTTTTTTTTAATTTTGTTTTTTAAAAAACTCGCATCTGTTGTGTTATTAGAGAAGTTGAATCAGATTTAGAGTTTTCTGAGGGGAAAATGGCTAATTCCTACCTCAACTTTCTCGAATGGTGCAAATTTATATCTGAGAAATTTACTTGCCTGAATTCATACCTGAAGCCCTATATTCTGGACAATTCATATATGTATTATCTGTTTTTTGATAAATATAAACATTGACCCGTTTCCTATTAGTCAACGATCCTATTCTGTTAACAGAGAAGAATCCCATGCTACATCGACTGTTGGCACCGGAACTCAAAACAACGTCGTTTTGATATTTTTTTTTGTTCTTCAATATCAAAATGACGTCGTTTTAATATTAAAGAACAAAAAAAAATATCGACGTCGTTTTAAGTTCTGATGCTAACAGTACAGTCGACGTGGTAAGAGATATTTTCCGTTACGGAATATGATCATTAACTAACGGAAACAAGTCAATGTTTATATTCGCCAAAAAACAGATAGTACATGTATGAATTATCCAAAATATAGAAGTTTAGGTATGAATTCAGGCAAATAAATTTCTCAGATATGAATTTACATCATTCGGGAAAGTTAAGGTAAGAATTGGTCATTTTCCCGTTTTTCTGAGTTTGTGTTTCGTTTTTTCGGCGTGGTAAGAAATCTGGGTTCACAAGATTTTGGTTTTTGTTCTAGGCTTGTAAGCTGGACTATGGCTCGTCATAAGGTATGATGAGCGAAGGTTTTTGAACAAAGATCGGCAAAGCTTGGTTTTTGACTAGTCACGACTCACGAGGGTTGAGCGTCGGGGTGTTTTATAAGAAAAGTTGAATTCGATGTATGTTTTTTCAATGCTAACCTCAAGCAGGTTAATCAATCGTGAAAACTTGAAACAGTTAACGACGATAGTATCAATAGTTTGCTTTTTTATGCCTTTCGTCTTTCACTCTCTTCGATTGATTAGAAGTACTCACATGAGAAAGTTCAAATACAACCAACAAGTAATGATGGCATTGGTAAACGTATTTAAATGCACCTAATAAGGGCAATAAAATATTAAACCAAATTCGTAACCAAAAAAAAGAGTAAACGAGTTTTCAACAATTCCCATTCAGGTTTTGTACTAACACAAGATTCAATTGAAAGGAACCAACTAAACAGAACACCATTTGAACTCGCAAATCCTCCTCTGTTTAGTAACCACCACCATCACCACCTCCTCCATAACCAGCACCACCTCCTCCATAACCAGCACCACCTCCTCCGTAACCACCACCACCTCCACCGTATCCACCACCTCCGTAGCCACCACCTCCGCCGTAAGACCGGGGAGCACTTGGTCTGTCGTTAGCAACATTCACTCTGATGTTACGACCATTCAGATCCTGAGATTACAAAAACCCAAAAGCACTCAAGTTAAAACCATTAAACAGAAACAAAATATAATAACTGAGCATTCCAATTCAAACATACTAATCGAGCATTTAAAAGACAAACCTTTCCGTCCATCTCTGAAATAGCAGCATTCGCAGCTGTCTCATCACTGAAATTGACAAATCCAAATCCCCTCGACCTTCCTGTTTCTCTATCAACGATGACTTTAGCTGCACAATTAAACTCATAAAGTTGAAACTTTCATTTCATGAGACCAAACCATCACAAACTCATACCACAAACATCACACAATGTAACTAGATATTTAAAACGTTGAACCAGTTGCTTACCATCAACCACTTCACCGAAGTTGGCAAAAGCATCCCTCAAGGATTGGTCATCAGTGCCCCATGAAAGACCTGAAAAACGATCAATATCACAGGATAAAACACTAAGAAATGAAAGAATCTCATAAGAAGAAAGAGAGACAAAGACAAGATTTTTTGTACCTCCGACGAAAAGCTTGGTAGACATGTACCGGAGAGAACCGAGCATAGATTGAACTGGAACATTTCCGGTCTGAGAAACAACCCCTTGTCTCAATAAACCACCGAGATTTTTGCAGAAAGCCATTTCTACACACAAATCAGGAACCCTAAACGATCAAATACTATAAATCATCATCAATCTCAAAAAAATTTGACAACGAGATCAACAAACTGGCTCAGATCCTGAAAAATCAGATCTAGATTCAACATAAACAGAAAGAGTATTTTCAAGATTCGGATCCATTTACAGAAGAATCGAAACAAGCGTACATAGACTCTCGGGAACGAAATTACAACGGAATACGCAGATCAAAAGCAATATAAAGCTTAAAGAGGAAGACGATGATGTAGAAAATGGAGTACCTTCGAAATTAGGGTTTTTGAACTGAAGAGAGAGGCTAAAATGGGAGAATGATGCCAAAGGGTAGGGTTTAAGGGGTATATATACAAAGGTCGTAATAAAAATTCATTTGCTTTTAGAAGATTTTTTTTTCTCGGTAAATAATAATCTGCTGCGTATAGATGTATTTTGTTAGTGTGTACTCATGCGTCAAAAACTTGTACACGTGGTATATTATGGGCGAATCCGTCTTTGTGGTAATCAATCTGGTTAATGAGTCTACGATTTATTCGGTGTAGAGGAACTTTGTTTCGGTGTTATCCAAATTTTGGTTTTTTAAATTTATTTCAAGTTTCTTCGGTTTATTTTTTTCCTTGACATAAGTTTCTTCGGTTTATTTTAATCTGATTTATTTGCTAAGAAACAAAAAAATTTCTATATTGGGCTTAGAAACCCATACTGAATTCCAACTTATTATCCGTTGATGGGCCATGCAACGATAATTTATTTTGATTAAAAAAAAAATTAAAGAGGATTGAGATTTTGGAAGAGCAGAAAAAAATTGATTTTCCAGCAAAACACACCATGGGGAACCAGTCTGGGTTTTACAAGAAATAATGCAGCAAATTGGATAAACATTATTTTGGGTTTTGCAAGAAAGGAGCCTTCTTGTGGGGTTTGTGGGCTGGCCTCTGGTAGGAATTGCTCATAGCAACCAGTAGTGGATCTAGAAAAAAATTTAGTTGGAGGCATAAATTATTAGTAGGGGGCATTTTTTTTACAATTATATTAAATTTATTTTTAACTAAATTTGCCTAAATATTTAAAAAAAAAAAAAAAAGAGTGGGGGCACAGGACTTCATTCCTACTTCACTCCCTCCGCCCCTGATGACAACAACGACTCTAGTTCCTTAGAACTTCAAATACAAACTAGTTAACTTTTCCGCGTCTTGTGCGGACTGATATAATTTTTCATTTGATTGTTTGGAAATCTAATAATAGTTTAGATTTATTTGTTTTTTTTTATTCTCTATTGTTGAGTATATTTTTTGGTTATATTTTCTTACATTTTAATGTTTGAAAACATGATCATGAAAACAATATAAAAATATAAATAAACATATATTAGTATCAAAATAACTTAGTTTAAATAGTTTTGAAGTCTTTTGATCATTGTTCTATGTATTTTAGACGTAGTTTTTTTAAGTATCGTACGAACTTATTCGATTTTGATCATTGTTTTATGTATTTTAGACATCACAAATATCATCATTTCATTAGACATTCCATTGGTTGATTTTTACTTTTTCGTTAGATTTGACTAAATATCGGTTTTATTAAATTTGAAAAACAGTATTGACAATAAAGTGAAATATTAAACCATAGTAATTTAGACCAATATGATTTAAGTTATTTCTTATTTAGTACTTGCTTAGAAAAACATTAGTATATGTTTACCTGATGACTCCATGAGTTTTCGTTAGAGCTGAGAAGAAGGAATATGTTATCTGAAAGTTGTGAGAGAACTAGAGAAACACTACAAGAAAACATCTTTATTCCATCAAAATTTTACGTTGAATTTAAATCGATGTAAATTTACGTCGGATTTACGTCGAAGTTACGACGTCCTAATAAATCGACGTAAATTTGACGCAAAAAGGAGTCGTCGTAATTTCAAATACGTCAGCATTATGACGATTTGACGACCAAAATATATTCGTCGTAATATCGAATTAAAATTTACATCGATTTTACGATGAATCTTATTTTGTCATGGTTCGATGTAATAATGATTTATTTTGTTTTTCAATGCAAATTCGATGGAAAATTACAATGTGAAATTTTTGCTACACATACCAAATTTCTATAATTACCTCCTCACTTCTATCATAATCTACCAACAGTGGGTCGTGGAGTACGTATAAACAAATATTGGGTGGTTGACGTTAACCAATCTCGACGGTACAACAAATTTGAACCTTTCATCCTAGCTTCACAAGCAGAGCAAGTCGTATTTGTTCCATATATATACACGAGTTTGAAATACGGGGATAACATGGTTAGTGGTTATTAAAGTGGCTCCACGGGATATATTTGATGGTGTAGATCTACCACCTATGCAACAAGATACATGCCCTGACATCACTGAACCAGAGGTTGATGAACATATCCTTTTAATTGACCCACGCAGTAGACAAGTTGAAGATCTTCCCAATGATGACACTGAAGAGGATCCTTTAGATGAATTTGCTGAAACTGATGATGATGATCTTGAGTTAGACAATGATGATGAAAACGCATCAGATGAGTCTGAATGACAGTTAATTGTATGTTTGATTCTGTGTTTTTTTTTATGCTTAAAAATTTTAGTATTTGTTTGTAAATGAAACCTATCTATCACTTTTTTTAACATTAAAGAGTTGACTTTCAACCCATTTTTTTGACTATTACGTCGATTTTATGTCGAAAATGATAAAATCGATGGAAAATCGATGTAACTTTACATCTATTTTACGTCGATTTTTAAATGCATAGAATCCTAATTTTTTTGCTTGGTTTAATGTAACTTTAAACTTAACTGTCTATTGTCTAACTATTGGGTTGCCTCAAACGTAGTTTAAAGGACAGATATAGCAAACCTTATATTAGGGTTTCACATTTGCATCGATATTACGTCGATCTTCACATATTCGACGTAAATTCGATTCAATGGCTAAACCCTAACATAGGGCATGCCATATAATTCGTTAAAACATAATTTTTTCTGGATTAAAGTATGACATTAGTTTAAGGAAGCTACAATGAATTGAAAATAATTAGAAAACTATATAAGTATAGATTTTAGTATTACGTCGAAGTTACATCGATCTCTGAAAATCATCGTAAATTCGACTGTAAATTACATTGGTTTTACGTTGAAATATTTGAAATCGACGTAAATTTGACGTAAAAATCAACCCTAAACCTTGAAATCATCATTTACAATGGTTTTAAAATGTTTCCATCCTTTCAAGTAGCACTATTACACTTCATACAATGTACACAATAGGTTCTGGTAAAAAAAAAAAAAATTTCAAAATAGTATAGAGAATGCATGCATGTAATCAAGTTCTTAAAGAGATATGTACATTGATGGAAGATGTTATCTTAGGACCTAATTACATAAAAAAAAAGTTTTAATCCTTACCTGTATATGTAATTTAGTAAGACACACATTCAATTATAGCATATAGAAGATTTCTACATCTTCAAAATTGAAAATATAATATAAATTTTTTCATAAACTTCCCATTGGTTTTATGTCAAAACCGATATAAAATAAATGTAAATGTCCATTGACATTACGTTGTTTTTTTATTTATAAAATATAAATAATTAAATATATTTTCGAGGTAAAATTGACGCAACATTGGACCCACATTACGTCGATTTTACGTTGCCCCCAAAACTCTATATATATGGGATGCTGCCTCCCAACCCCGACGCTCATTCCTCTCTTTCTTTCCAACGAGTTTGCTCTCCAGCTCTTCCAAGTAACTTTTTTTTTCTTTTTCCTTTTTTTAATTAGTAAATACATAGAATAGGTGGAATTAGATATAGGAACGGAATTATATATAGGATCGGAATTAGATATAGATCGGAATTAGATATAGGAATAGAATTAGAAATGGTAAGTCAGTCATATTTTCTATTTTAATTATTATAAATTACCTTCAAATAATAATATATATGTTTGATTTTGATTTTATTTTTTTTAGGTTGATGAAAACGGAGAACTTCCTCCTATGACCAGAGTTTTTGAGGAGACTCACCGAAAGAAAAACGGTTCCTTCGTGGATGAACGATCCGAACAGGTTTACAACGAGGCAATAGCGCGGATCGCGGAGCATCAAACTCAAGTCTCACATGATGTGTCTTTGACTGTTGCCGAACAAGATGCGATATTCGAGTAGGTAAATTTTTTAGTTTGCAAATTTTAATTTTAAATTTTTATTAATTTTTTTATTCTATATATGCAATTAATAATAATTTATTGTAGGTTGCTCTGAAGACGTTGGGCCGTATTTTAGGGATGGGATCTATACCTGATTGTCCCATCACTTCGTCTAGCCGGATTCGCGAGGATCCGGTGGTTTTGCGGCAGCATCTTGAAGAAGCCCACACCGAGATCTCGAACTTGCGGACAGAGCAAGTGGTGCAGCGACAGGAGATCATGTCTGCTCGACAAGAGATCCACGAGATGTCCGATTTATTCGACATCATCGCCGCCAGCGTGCCGAGGCCAGCAGCAGCAGCAGGTTGGTGCGTCTATGTCGAGGCCACATGGAGTTGTTGGCGAGGACGGAAACCCGCCAGCTACCGTTAATGCTGATGAGGATCTTAGTATAAATAATTTTTAATTAGTTTAGGAAACTAGGTTCTAAATTATGTATTTTGGTAAAAAATTTAGAATTTTTTCATGATTTTAAAATATTATTTTCGAATTATTAATTATAATTTTCTAATTTTTTTATTTTAATAATTTTCAAATCGACGAAAATCCTTCGTAATATACCAATGAAATCGAAAAGTTTCCTTCGATTTTACGTCGATACAATTACATCGACTTAACGTCGTTATATTACGAGGAATTTACGTCAATTTTAAAAAATATCCCTATATCTTTGCTTTTTTTATTCTCGTAAAAATGATGTAAACCCGATGTAAAGATTGATGTAAAATTGATGTAAATATACATCGAAAAAAGCGTCTATTTTACGTCGATTCTGGTAATCGTTACGTCGAATTTACATTGATTTGTGGTTTACGAAGATCGATTTACGTCGAACCGGAATTCGACAGAAATTCGACGGAATACTTATTTTGCATCGCATTTACATCGATTCTGCCCGACGTAAATGACTTGTTTTCTTGTAGTGAAAAGTGGCTGATATTTATACTAAATCATAAAAAATCAAAAACCTTATAAACATAAGAAATTATAAACACTAACCTATCTATCATAATAATTAGCAATATTATATTAGTTAGAGATGATTTCCTTTTTTATTAAACGATATTCCATTAGTTAGATATATATATATATATATAATCTTTTTTTATTTTTTATTAGATATTTTTTAAAAATTTTGATTTTTTTTTGTTTTCAAACGACATTCCATTATTTTTGAATAGATTCCATTTTTTGTTTTTTTTTAACATTTTTGTTAGATTTTTTCTAAATTTCGAAAACGAAATGGTAAACACTAACCTCTATATCATAATTATCAAGAACACTAACCTAGATCTTTTTTTTTTTTAAAATGGTTGATGGGCTTTATACACCATTCCATATGAGATATAGATTCCATTTTTTGTTTTTTTTAATGTTTTTGTTAAATTTTTATTAAATTTTAGTTTTATGTAATTTTAAAAACAGTTTGATTGACTACGAAATTAAGCATTAAACCATAATAGTTTAGACCAGTTTGTTTTAAGTTTTTTTTCACACATCATCACATAAGAACCAATAAAAATGACATATAATTGCAAACTGAGGCTAATCGGTCTTTTTACAGCCGAAACTCATAGTGGAGATGACACGTCAGCAAAAGGTTGTTAAACTCGCGGTGAACACGACACGTAAGCAAATCACTACACAAATAAGTATATAGATTTTTGGGTTTCATGTCAGAATTGGTATTTCTTCATCAAAGATCCACTTGGCATCTAGGGACTTGTGCCAAGTTTGCTTGTTTTGATTTTTTTTTTTTGTTTCATATTGTTCTTTGCTTTTATTTGTATTATTTGATCTTTTGTTTTCTAAGTTATCTTTGTACCAGCTGTTAAAAATCTTAAAATTAGTATAAAATTTAATATTTAGACCCCAAAAAAGTGGATGAACATAAAAATATTTATCAAAATGGCCATCATGTGCCTAGACATCAAAGCACAAATAGACGAATTCATTGGACTAGCTAGAGACCAGAAGATGGATGGCCTAAGTGTAACTTACAATGCATCTATTGTTCAAGGTAATACTCCCTCTAAAGTTAGATGGATTGTGAGAGATGATGAAGGCATGTATTGCCGATTAAGTCAAGGAAAAGTTCTTTCTAATGCATTAGAAAGAACATACAATCATATTCTAAACAGATTTTAGTTAATTTCTAAAAAAGCATATAAGTTAATCATTAAACATATAAAATAACTGAAGTTAAAAAAAAAAGACATTAAAAAAATCTTCCCGTAAAATAGCAGTATCCTTTTTTTTTGGACATCAAATTAAAATTAGATCTCAAAGGTCACGGTAAATCACGAAGTGATTTCTTTGCTAGACTATCAGCCAGAGAGTTGCTAGATCGAGGAATATAGAAGAAACAAACAGATCTAAATTGAGAAGAAAGATTTTTTTTATGTCATGGAGTAGTCCGTAGAGCTCCTTGATTTGCACGTCGTTTGTGATCGCGTTGATGAGAGTCTGCGAGTCAGAAGTGAGAGCTATTTTCCGGTATTCCAATCGGAGGGCATCTCTCAACGCCGATAAGAGTGCAAGAGTCTCTCTAATCATAGGAGAGGCAACAAAGGGTTTGATTCCGTGCCTTATCCGATGCGGCGGTTCTGTTTCTTAAAAACCCATCCCGATCTCGACATATGGATGTAATTCCTCCAGGCCGCATCCGTGATGATGCTAATCCTGTCTCCCGGAACGGAAGGTGGTCTCAAGAGCGGTTCACTGGATCGATTCTCCAGGTTTGTGCTTTACACCATATACCATTCCCTTGCCATGATTAGTGATTCAATCAACGTTTCTGAGTTTGATGTGATACGATTTTCAAAAAGGAGTAAATTGCGTGAGCACCAGAGTTGCCAACAAATCCATGGGAAGAGGGGTTCCGGGCCAAAACCATTGGGTGGGAGGCAGATTAGCTTCTTCCCATGGATGAATCCTGAAGTGAAGTCATTGAAGAGGGCAAGATCGAAGTTTTCAGTGAAGGGTGCTATCTCCCATAAGCTTCTTGCGAAGGGGCAGTGAGGGAAGAGATGTTGTGCCGTTTCAGAGTCTCCGCATCTAGGACAAGAAGAAGATGCTTGCACTCCCCTCCTCAAAAATATTTTACCTAGAGGTAAAGCCCCTTGGATGGATTTCTAGATAAACATCCTTATTTTTGGGGAGAAAGGACCATTCCAGATTTCAGTGTTCCAATTGATAGCTTGGAGGTTCTCCTATGTAGGTGCATTGCGGTTGGTAGCGTTTATTGCAGCATGGTAGCCGGATTTGACAGAGTAGTCACCTGATGGATTAAGCAGCCAATGTACTTGTCTTCAAGATCCGATGAGCTTGGTTGGATGCTGAGGATTTGCGATTTGTAAAATGGCATGAGCTCATCAATTTTACTTATGTCCCAAGCACCCGAGTCCCCAAGAATAATGTCTGAAACTGTGAAGTCTTTTGTTGCAGCTGTTGGGGGTCCCATAGGTGTGGTGGGGTCGCAAAGGGATAGCCAGGGGTCAGACTAGAGACTAGTTTGCTTTTCATTACTACTGGCTTTTCTGAGGTATTTTAGGAGGAGGTCTTGGCCAATGAGAATGTCCTGCCATCCATGCGAAGCTGATGCGCTGTCCTAACTGTGAGAAAGGAGTCATGGCCACAATATTTGCCTCTGAGTACTCGGGAGAGAAGGCAAGTAGGTTGCTTTAGAATACGCCAGCTAAGTTTAGCTAGGAGAGCCTCATTGAAACTTTTAATATCACGAAAGCCTAATCCCCCATCTCTTTTTATATTTTCAGCTTGTCCCATGATATCCAGGCCATTTTGAGTCCCACGAGAAGCGGGTCAGAGCTGACTGGATGCATTTGTAGAGATTGTCTGGTAGGCGGAAGCTGGACATGGTATAAGTTGGCATAGCAGAGAGGACTGATTTCAACATGATAGCTTTACCTGCACTTGAAAGAAGTTTTGAAGACCAGTTGATGGACTTCTGTCAAATGCGGTCCACTATGACAATGAACAAATCTTTTTTACGTCTTCCAAAGGGTTCAGGGAGGCCCAGGTATTTACCTTGGCCTCCTTCGTTGGCAATTCCCAGGTAAGCTTTCACTCTTTTCGAATCTTATGAGGAGTTTTACTGGAGAAAGTTATTGAGGACTTGGCTTTGTTAATCATCTGTCCAGACGCAAGCTCGTATTGGTAAGAATTTCATTTAAAGCTTTGCAGCATCTTTCATTTTATTTACTAAAAAAACATTGTATCGTCTGCGAATAGCAGATGATTAATGAGGAGGCTTCCTTTTGATGTGCGTATACCAGACATTAAACCAATGGTTTGAGCTTTCTTGCAGAGACCGGATAAAACTTCTCTACAGAGGATGAAAATGAAGGGGGAGAGGGGGTCTTCTTGGCGAATACCCCTTTGAGGTTGGACTAGGCCGTGACCTGCACCATTTATCAGGTAAGAATACAAGACATAGTGATGCAGTGCATTGTCCATTTGATCCAAGAATGATGAAAACCAAAGCGTAAGAGAACATTCTCAATAAAGTTCCATTCTAAACGGTCGTATGCCTTGCTCATATCAGACTTTACTGCCATAGAGCAGTGAACTTTAGCCTCTGACTTTGTAGCGCGATCAGGATGTCGTGGGTAATCATAACATTGTCTGCTATGGCCCTGCCTGGGACGAAATCCGATTGTGTCTCAGATATGATGCTCAGGAGGATCAGCTGCAAGCGTCTGGTAAGAATTTTCGAGAACACTAGTCAGGTATCGTTTTTGGAGTGCTACTTTTTAGAATGAGACGCATGTGGGTGTGATTTAGGGAGCTTGGTAGAAGTTCACTCACATTATAGTTTGTCTGAAAGAAGCCAGCTGAAAAGCCATCCGGACCTGGAGCTTTATCCGGGTGGATGGAGAAAACCGCCTTCCTGATCTTATTCCTCGAGGGGATTTTGATCAACCGGGCATTATCCTCATCAGATATGCAAGGTACTAAGGCTTGGGAGACAATATCTTTACCCTCGTTTCCATTTGACTTGAAGATGTATTGAAAGTAAAAGCTGATGACTGTCGCAATTCCAGTTTCTTCGAAGACTGCAGTGCCAGTAGCATCCTCAATGACTGCAAACTTGTTACGAGCTTGTCTCTCTTTTGTAACTGCATGAAAGTAGGCTGAATTGTTCTCTCCTAGAGTAAGCCATAAATCCCTGCTTCACTGTTTCCAATACTCATCTTCCCTCTTATATGCTTCTTTAAGCTTCAGGTTAATGTAGGAGATGAGGCTTGCGTCCGTACTGGAGCTACTCATAGCTTCATCGAGATGTTTTCTATGAAGTTCAATGTCTTTCTGGCTATTAGCATGATGTCTTATGTTCCATAGGGAGATTGCTTTACGGCAGAGAGAGATTTGATGTTCTACAAAAGACTCTGGGGAGGAGTTCCAAGCTGTTTCGATAAGCTTTTTGATCTCTAGGTTGTTCTTCATGCGCCTGTCGTAACGGAATAATCCTTTTTTTGGCAGGAAAAGGAGGTTCAAAGAAGGTGATAATGGGCCTGTGGTCAGAGCCTTCAAACCGGAGATAACGAGATCTGCCAGAGGGAAACAATCCAGCCCAAGAACTGTTCGAGAACGCTCTGTCTAGGCGGCAATGGTCGAGGTGCGTGTGTCTAATGCCTCTCCAGGAGAGGCAGTTTCCGGTGAATTTCAGATCGAAGAGGTCGTTCTCAGACATGAAGGCACGAAAGTCTCTGAAGGAGCCCTCGACTCGTTGATGCCCATCAGACTTTTCCGAGTTGTCAAGGATGTCGTTAAAGTCCCCGGTAAGGAACCAGGGTGAATCTCTTGTGCTCGCCATCGTTGTAAGTTCCTCCCACAAAGCTTTCCTATTTGGTTGTTCAGGTGCTCCATAAGTGAAAGTTGCGTAGAAGTTGTTGCCTTTGTATGAGATTGTGGTATTGATATACACTACAAGAAAAACACCGTTTTACAACGGCCAAAATCGTCGTTAGTTCGTCGTAATAGGGCTATTACGACGAACTACTAACGATTTCCAAATCGTCGTAAACTCATCGTCGTAATAAATAAATTGTCGTAAAAGTCGTCGTATAATCTACGACGGTTTATATTCATCGTAACATCGACGGAAAAAGATTGTCGTAAACGCGTCGTACAGCTTACGACGACTTTACATCGGATTGCCTCGATTTGGTATACAGCAAAACCGTCGTAAAGTCGTCGTTAAAAATCGACGTAGGATCGTCGTATAATATACGACGCAAGTTTCGTCGTAATTCAATCGTAAAAGATTTTATCATTTCGTCGTAAAACCGTCGTAAAACACGGACGTATATTCGTCGTATCAGTCGTCGTATATTATACGACGAATAAGTGGTCGTAACTTCGTCGAACGAGTTACGACGAATATAAGACAGTTTAATAAATTAATAATAATTATATTAAGACGATTATACGATGTTTTTTATAAATGAAATTCAAAAAAAAATTTTAATTCGAATAAAAATTTAAGTTTTAAAAAAAAAATTTACAATTTAAATTTTAATTAAATTCAAAATAAAATTAATTTTAATAATTACAAAAAAACCCTAAAGATCTAAATCTAAACTAATGTCGATCTCGTCATCGTCCTGCTCCCCATTGTCGTGCTCCACATGTTCTTTGCCGGGTCTTCAGTTGGAGGTTTCTGCTGCCGGATCCCCGGGTCTTTGGTTGGAGGCTTCCGGCGCCTGATCCCCGACTCTAAGAGGATCAACCCCGAGAGACTGGAACATCTCCTCGTCTGTCTGCACCGGTGGTTGCCTCCTAGAAGATGAAGCAGATGATCCGACAACTCCAGCTGCCTGCAGCCTGTCTAACTGCGCCATGAGCACCGGGTTGTCGGCCCCCATAATCTCGAAGAGACCGTACAACTGGTCGATCTTCATCTCGTGCTGGGTCTGCATCTGATGGATCTCCTAGCGGATAAGCGGATCCGCTGTCCGGACATGACCAGTTGCCGTAGCGACTGGGGTATCACGGATGGATCCCATCCCTAAAACCCGACCATTTTTCTTAGGGGCAACCTGAATATATGTAAAACAATTACATTAGAACCTCTATAAATTAATACTCGATAAATTAAAAATCACTATAAATTAATAAATTTTGCTGGTCCCAAGTCGGGCCAATGTAAAAATCCATCAAATTCGATAAGATAATAAGATAATAATTTTTTTTGAAATTCTTAAGTAAATATATGGTCCCAACAAGAACATAAATTAATAATTATATAAATTTAAGCAAATATATGTAAACATAATATTCTAAAATATGACTAATGTATTTGGTTTTACTTAAAGTTGAAATCTCATTGGTTCTCATTTTTCTAATTATTATATCAGTAGCTCTTAATGTTGTTTTGCTACATACATTCAAAATTTATTATGATTTTTTGATGTGATAATTGATTATCTTATTTGTAAATGTTTTTAAATGTATTGTAATATTATTTTCAATTTTATCATCAATAATACTGATATTAGCCATAATTTTCTAATAAATTTTTAATTTATGGACATGTATATTTTAACATGGACAATCCAATATGGTGTTAAAAACTATTTTTTGTGATAGTTATGATTGTTAATTATAATTTATATTATCAGATTTTGTAAAAATTTTATAATATAACATTATTCCAAAGAAATTTTACTGTATGTTAAAAAGTACAATATAAAGTTAAAATTACACTAAATAAGAAAAAGATCTTATCTCTTCGAAAATCTGGTCCATCTCCGCCACCGTCAGCGTCGGGGTGGATTGGACCGAGCTACCTCCAGGAGACGTTGGAGGCGCCTGCTGAGTGAGCTGCGTCTGCTGCTCCTCGATCCACGCACAGGCGGCGTTTTAGATCTCCTCCGTCCGAGGATCCGTAAATTCGCCGTTCCTCTTCTTATGGGTCTCGGCGAAGACCTTCGTCATCGGAGGAAGTTCTCCCCCGTTTTCTTCGACCTACAAAATCAAAATGAAATTATTAATAAGACAAATAAGAGTTAATTATTTAAAAACAAAAACTTAATAATTTAAATTTACCATCATAAGTCGTCTCCCGGCAAAAGGAATATGACCAGAAGTGTGCGGGACGTTCTTCCGATTTCCTGCATCGTCAGTAGTGTTCCTGAAAAATATATTAACTAGAATTGTATTAAATTAAAACACATATTTTAATTTAATCTAAACACAAATTAAAATACCTATATGTGGAACACTTGGCGGCAGTAGTCTGGTTGTGCGGAGTCAACCAATACTGTACCAGACCCTGCCAGATGGTATCGGCCATTGGCGCCGGCTTGGCCTTGTCGCCGTCGACCTCCCACTTCCGCTTCCAGTCGGAAACGGTGTTGTTGAGGCGGAACTTGACATTCTCTTTGAAGGCCGTCTCCACACGTCCGTGTGCGAAAGTTTCCCAATGCCAGTTTTGCTAGAAAAAAAAACAAAAAGTTAGTAATTATTGTAAAAAATAAAAAATAATAATATAAATCAAAATTTTAAAGAAGTACTTACCGCAAAACACTTGAACTAATTGTCAAGAGTTGCCTGATCCAACTTCTTCCAGCTGGTATGGGGTTGTACAAAAAACTCCTTGATGATGTCGGCAACGTTACGACCGACCGTGTTGTCGGTCGTAAACCTAGTCAAATGCAAATAAAAATTAAGTTAATTTCAATTAATTATAAATATTATTCGTTTAAAAAAAATTTGAAAAAAAAAAATCTCGTACCAAAAAATTTTTTTCAATGTGCATGACATCAAGATTGTGTCTGAGCAGATGATCTTTCCAATAGGGTAGTTGCCAAAAGATACTTTTCTTGTGCCAATTATGATGAACTCTATAACCTTCAGGCATATTTGCAGGAGTGTGCCAGTTTTCCCCACGCGTTACTGTTTCATCTGCCCCCCAATGCTCGATTTGCGCATGTATATCAGCTCCTGTTAAAATTAACGGGTGGAGGGACATGTACACTTTTGTTCTTCATAAATAACCTCTTGTTCCTCCGATATGGATGGTTATCCGGTAAAAACCTCCGGTGACAATCAAGCCAACAAGTTTTTCTACCATGTTTTAGCTGAAACGCATCAGTTCGATGATGACAACAAGGACAAGATAACCTCCCATGTGTAGTCCATCCTGATAGCATATCATAAGCGGGGAAATCGCTTATTGTCCACATAAGCACAGCCTGCATAGTAAAATTTTTGCCCGTAGAACAGTTATATGTGCGAACGCTGGTATACCATATCTGATTCAACTCATGTATGAGTGGCTGCAGAAATACATCGAGAGCTCGCTTTGGATGATTGGGACTTGGAACCAAAATACTTAGGAAAAGAAATTCCCTTTGCATGCACAAATCTGGAGGAAAGTTATAAGGAGTTAGGATTACTGGCCATAATGAATA